GAGTAGAGCACAGGGCTCGGAACAGCCTACATATTATGTTGCGTGTGGTTTATGCATTTGTTACGCACGCTGTCCATGCTGATGTTCGTTACACTGTTGCCCGTGATAGTCGTGCTGAACGTCGCACGTGTTCTTTCCAGCACAACTAAGGCTGCAGCAGTCCCAAACCAGCACGCGCTACTATAATGACAGCCAAGCGCAATCTGCTGCTCCACGTCGCGTAGACACTGACAATGAAAAGCAAGTGCAAGAAAACAGAGCCCAAAGCCGCTAGGACAATTGCCCAGCGATTCCGCGACTGGATCCACGGCTTTGTGAGACATTGAACCTGCAAAATTGCCCCAATTGCGTTTGCGGCAAAGCCTGAACCTATAATGAGGCCGGAGGTGCGTGCCCCAAAGCCCAAAGATGATGCCAAGTCATAGGATGAAGGCAGCACCATGCTGGACTGGATGAAAAAAGTCAAGGTGATGGCTAAGCTCAGGATCTGCAGCGACCTCCTCAAAGCTTTCTCCCCGGAAGACACGGAGATCAGCATCCACAGCATTGCACTCAGCGCAAGTACGACTGCAATGGCAAAAGCCACAAAGCCCATGCCGCGTTGGACCATCTCTGGGAGAAAGGCATTGTGACTGTGGCGCAGCACAATCGTCAACTTCATTGTGGCGGCGCGTATCTGGACCAACATGTTGCGTCAGAAATACATGAATACGCCAACCCCATGCACGGAATTCCTCAATTTGCCCGCCAAACAAAGCAAGCAAGCGAGCGAGCGAGCAAGCAAGCAAGCAAGCAAGCAAACAAACACACAAGCAAACAAACAAACAAATAAACAAATAAACGCAAAGACAGGTACACGCACAAGAAGAAGCAAAACGCACGCACACACAAGGCAAAGAACAAATATAACCAAGAAAACACAATACATAATACAAAAATAGGCAGTGATGTGGTAATTCAATACACGCACGCGAGCACGCCCCGCCCTTCGACCGCATGCATACGCAACAAAACGGAAACAGCATCGACAAAACAACACGAAAGGACGCCCTGTGATACGTAGCTTCGTTGGACCAAGTAGCATCAGGGAACTCGAAGGGATGAGACATTGGCGACACTCAAGGCACAAGGCTGCGTGAACGCTGCGCTTTCGTCCGACTTGAGTTGCTAAAACAATTCATTCTGTTCACGTGTCCAAGGCTCAGCGAAAAACATCTTAGGAAGTGGGTTTTGGCAACGTGGAACGAGCTTTTTAAATGGAGGTCGGGAGCGTCGAGAGTCAGGCAAACCGGGCAGCTCAGTACCGGGAGGCTCGACATCACCCGGCGCGTCTGCTTAGCACTTGGGAGTCCAGCACCTCCACCGTCGCGTCGTTCTTGTTGCCATACCGTGGCGAGAACAAATGACTTGAGGATCTCATTTTCTGGAAAGAAAAGCAACTCATCGAGGCGCCGTTTTCAATGTTCAGCCGAAAGCCCAACATCTCGTCACAGAGAGCTTGAGCCGCAGGTGTGCTGCGCTTGGCAAGTTTGGAGCCTGTGGGTTCGCCGACTCCTTGCCTAATGGCCATCGCAGTGGCACGCGCCGGCCTGCTTCGCGGCCAGCTGACGGCTGAGTTGCGCGCAGCAAAGACTCGCACGTCAAGCGCCCACGATGTCTGGGTTCGACGGGGCGGGGCCCGCCGCCTGCGCCGGCCGTTGAAGACTCTGGTCGCAGCCTCAACTTGGCCGACGTCCACAATGTCGCGCTGGGTTGGCTCAAACTACCATGTGATTATTTAACAACCTGGTAGTGGTAACCAACCACCAGAGATCCTGGCTGTAGGCGATCAGATCAGGATGACCTAGAAGCAGAAAATGTTGAAGACAATGCGACGAATTGCACAGGCATCAGAAGGCGGACACCTCCTCTTGAGCTGGGCAGCGCGTGTTTAGGAAGCGTCCAGCACGCACTTGTACATCGCAGGCAGGGTAGAAAACCATGAACTTAGAGGCGGCACGATCTTTGGCGTGACGCAGGAGAGGTTGGAGGACGGCAAGAACTCGCGTAGGTAGCCATGATTAAGAAAGCAGCCGCGTGTAGGACGCGCTGGTCGATGTGAAAGGTGCCACGCCGTTGGCGGCAGAATGACGCAGAGCAGGCAGCGTCAAACAACAAGCGAGTTGTTGACGGAGCATGGCTCATGGAGCCAGACGAAAGCGGGACCTGGCAGGCCATTGCGCGCGAACGGGTTGGCAAGCGCAATGCAACTAGTTGAGGCTCCACTGATTGGCAGCCACCTTGCTGTGAAAAGTTCCTGGCCAATCTCCCGCCCATGAGCGAAAAACGACACGAGGACGAGACACGTGAAAGGGCGGGGCGACCATTCGATGGGACCCCCTCATGAAGCTGGACCCAAAGGCAGGATGAGCCAAAAAAGGTGCCATCGGCGGACGAGAAGGCCCGGGGACGCAAAACCCTTGTCCTGAATGCATCCTGTAAAGCGTGACGCGGTTTTGTCGGTAAACTTTTTTGAGGGTGACAAGGCTTCTCGATGTAGTAGCAGACAAAACAGTGAAGACTGTCAAATGTTGAGTAAGGCTCACTCGCAGCCAAATCTGACTCGACGTGAGTGCAGCAATGCGACAAGCCGAAATGAAGTCACGTCCGCAACACAACATGGAAGCAAGCGACATCAACAAAACAAGATAGAAACTCAAGGTAGCAGGCACACATCCATGAGGCAGTCTTCGGCGAAGGCAAATCAACCCACATGGCTGTTGCAAAACTACACACACAAACATTTATCTGATAGCCGGTGGATGCTTCCCTCTCTGACATCTGATGCGTAGCTCGATGGACTGAGCATCTTGCTGGACAAGGTCAAGAAGTAAATTAGCGTGCATGATCCAGCACAGTGTGCACACACACAGAAGCGCACACAAAACAAAAGAACGAACGAGAGAACGAACAAACGAACGAACAAACAAACAAACAAACAAACAAACAAACAAACAAACAAATGTATAAACAAACAAAAACATAAACACCAAAGCAAGCAAGCAAACCAAAGCAAGTACGCAAGCAAGCAAGGAAGACAGAAAGTACACAAACACACGCACATGAACAGTTCTCGCCTACCGTCGACTGCCTTCGTTTTGGGACATGTCCGCCCACTGCTTCGCTGGCTCTCGTAATAATTTCAAGTTGATACTATCGTCCTCGTTTGGAGAAGCATCTGCTGACTTTCTGCTCCTTCACGATCCCAGTGATTCTTAGATTTACCGATTCGCTCTAACCCGATTTTGAGTTGGTCGGCCTCCAAAACTTGATGCTTTGCTTTACTGTAAAAGCGCAGCAGGCTGCTGTGTTCCTACTGGCGAAACACACCGTGTTCAGGCGCCATCGTGCGGTTGAAGTGGTCATGCCAAAACAACATGTCTTCAGACGTGCAGTCCCAAAAGTTTAAGGCTCAGGCCGACTCGGCTCCGGGCGCTTCAGGGTCGACTGTGTTCCCACCTGATCTGAGCTCTGTGGCTCCATGAGCTTATGGCTGACATCTCATTCGGCATGGCCTCGTCCTCCGTCAGCTGCTGCTGGAGCTGCTGTGCCCGTTGTAGCAGCTGATCGGCCTGGCCAGCTTGCCAGACGTCAGACGTCAGGCTGAAAAGTCTGGGTTCCCAGGTCCCGGGCCCTCTCTGCCCAATCCATACAAGCCAAGGCGGTTGTCCAGGCTCTGAACACTGCACAGACAAGATTAGATGCAAAATCAAAGTTGGCGCAATGGTGCAGCAGGGCTTGGCACAGTGAGTGGACTCGCGTGGATTGCACGACTTGACGCTTGAGTTGCGCCGCTGCCCAATTCTCGCCCCTTGCACTGCAGCCCAGGTTTTTGCGCCATCCGCTCTGGTTTTGAGAGCTCTCAGCTTGTGCGACTCAGCCACCTGAGCGCAAAGGCTTGCGCCAAACCTCTATACATTGATGCTGTGTTGCCTCCAAGAACCAGAACGGCTCTGCCAAGGCATCACCTTTCGTCCGATGCTGAATAGCGAGCGATGCGAGAGGTCTTCCGCCTGGATCGTCCAGGGGGCACACTGTCTCCACCCGCAGGTCGAGAATGCCCTCCTCGAGCGAAGGCAAGAAAGACAACTGGCGGAGCGGAGGCTGTTGCGGCATCCTGCTGGTGGAATTCGATCGAGCACACCTTGGCATGTTGCTCTCTTTTTTGCACGCTTCTCGATGAGATCATAGGCGAACCTGAGAAAGGGGCACAAGAGATATATCTCCCGGCCTGCCAAGGCAGGAAGAAGGGAGAGCCCCCAACTCAAGGTGCGCGCGCAGCAGGCCTGCAAAGCAACGCTTGCCTCTGAGTTGGATGCAACGACGCTAGCAACGTCCAGACCTTGGAAAATGCCAAGGCTGAAGCAGAAAATCGACTTCTGCCATAGTGGGCGATGCACTCATGACGGCAGAGCCATCATCCAGGTCAACTACATCGTCCCCGTCACGGCCTAGCGCTTTTGATACGCAGGCAGCTCTGGACTTAAGCGCCGAGGTCAGCGCAAAGCACATATCCTTGAAGCCACACGCGCTTCAGCCGTTGGCGCAAGGCCGTGCAAATCAGGAAACCTGACGATGTGGTGCACGGTGTACAATGCAAGAGCAGGTGCAAGAGGTCTGTACGCTGGCCTTCCGCATCAATTCCCGTCTGGCGAAGCTCGGCAAGAAGAATCTTCATGGCTACGCCTCAGGCCCAATCCACTGCTCTAGCTCGCCTCAACGCGCACCTGAGACTTGCTGGACTTGCCCGGCAAGTTGCCTGGCATTGTGGCCACTAAGAGCCATTGCAGCTATCGCAATGGCCTCGAAGCTGCGCCAGGCATACCATCTGAACTGCTAGCCATTGCAAACTCCAAATTCCTCGTGGCTCAAAAACATTTCTCCTCACAGCCAAATCAAGAAGTAAATGCATTCACCTTGCTTGACTCCAATCCTGAATGCAATGAAAGCACCTCCAAACGTAAAGCTACTATCTTTGTGCACACCTGTTTTAGCTTCTGCCGCAGAAGTCTGTGAAATCCACACAATTCTTGACATGAGGCTGGACGCCCGCAACATGAAGGACAAGCGAAGCTTTAGCGAAGCTCCAGCGAAGCTTCGGGAGCTGTGAAACTGTGCCTGCAGGTGTGCTGGCCGCACCAACCATTGGCTCCGCAACTATGGTCAACTACCAGGACCAGGCAAACAAATCATCAGCACCCGCACAGCGTCCATGCCGCTCATCGTGAGGGGCCCGTCCCGGAGACCTCCGTGTGTTGCCCCCTCTTGGCAATGTCGGGCCGTGATCACGGACTGAGCTCCCTGCAATGCCTCTCTTTATCTTCTGAACCTGCATGTAACGTCCACGGTACTTGTTCGGGTCATACCTCATGCCAGGCAAATCACAGCTGTACAGTTTGCGAAGGGAAATCTAAGCTGCGCGCCATTTGTGGGCTGCCAGCCTGGCGGAAATCAATCTCAACTGGAGTTTGCCAGTAGCACCAGGCCTTGTGTTGAACTTACGTCGCGTTAGCCAAAACTTCTTTCTATGGAAGTCCTGCAGACAGAAGCAGTCGGCTGTGACAAAATGCCCAGTGCGACAACGAGGCATTGCGTCCTTCTTAGTTTCGTACTTGTCCTTCACGTTTCTTTGCATATGCCGCCAATATCTTGGCTTCTCAGATCCCACGAAGCCACACCTATTGATCATCGCCTAGCAGTCTGTGTCATTTGAGACATGCGGCATCAATGCTGGTGCCTTCATTTCTGTAGGTTCTACACCAAGCTCAAGAGGTCCAGCGCTGACAGGCACCTGATCAAGACTCACTGAGATAAACTAGGCAAAACACATACTCTGACAGCAGTAAAGCCGGGAGCACAATGTTGCCCTCAGTGTCGGTATATCCAAACTGGACCTGTTGGTGGCACAAGTATGTCGAACATCAAGCTTCTGTCAATCAGCCAGCGATGCCGGTTCAGCAGTCGGTAGCCAATAGCGGAATTTCCTGTAGAGCTTGTAAGAACCTGTGCAGTGCCCGAGCAAGCTAGCTCAGTGTGAATCAACCACTGGGCGCCGCGGCGCTTGATGAGAAAATTATACTGCGCTTGGATGGCTTCCCGGAAGTCTCCATCACGATGCACGATCTGCGGGCACGAGTCGTGCGGTTTCGATAACCTGTCAAGCACGCCTCACCCACGCGCTTCCAGGGAGTCCTCCCCTCATAGCGAACAAAGACCTAGGAACATTCCGGAAGCTTGCATCACAATCAGGCTGGCATGACTGGCCTCACTCACGTTGCAGCCTTTCTTCGACATCTCCTGCACGGCTAGGAACTTCTGCTTTGCCGTTTACATTGCAGTCTGCTGCAATTGCATCAGCTTTAAGCACTCATCTTGCAAGCTGAGGAGACTGCCCAAAAACGGGCACGCTGATCCCGAGCCAACACCACCAGTGGCTGGATTCTCTGCTCCTGCGTCGGAAGCATTGTCAGCATGTATTGCAATTGGCGCATGCGCACACACCAAGGAACTAGTCACCAACTTTGCAATTCTTCCGGCCTTCGGCTTGTCGCTCTCAAATTGAAATCCGAGCACCTATACAGTGGCCAATAGAAGCAATGGGCAAACTTGAGCCCACTTGCCTTGGGGAGCATGATCTTCAACTTTCTGCCCGAGTTCGCAACTGGCGCACCAGCCTCAAAATGATTCTTGCTGCCTCTGCAAGAGATGTTGTCACTGTGGCTCGCACCCTGCGTGGTATGATAGCTTGGTTCCTTGTTGCCCTGCTGCTTGCCTGTCTCACACACACGCACACACACAAGCATTGTAGAATTTGTGACTGTTTTGCTAGCTTCGAGCCTGAAAAGAGACAAATGCAGAGCTTCTCAACCACAGCGCTGCAGCCTGTAGAATCTTGCTGCTCAACTCTCTCAGTGCTTGACTCAATGAATCCAGCAACAATTGGCAACGTCGTTGCATGCAGGCAAGTATTTGGCACCAAATCACAAGGGCATCAGGTTTGGGCTTGGAAACTCGAGTCCCTAGTGCCACTGCACTGCGCACAGCGCTGTAATGCCTTGTAGCCTCTCAGTACGACTGTTTGCGGCGTGGGCGGCCGCTCTGCGGGCCGCTCTGCGGGCTGTCGGGTGCAGGTGCTGGCGTCCAGCCAACTCTTCGCATTTGTGGATTGCACGGTTCCATTAGAGGCAATCCTAGAAATTGTCAGCCATCCAGCAGGCATTGGTGCGCTAGGGATTTTTCAATGGGGTCATATGTACCAAGTTTCTGCTTTGGCAAGGCTCTCTCTACTGGACAAGTTTCCCAACATGTACTGCAGGACAGCACCTAAACTGCAAAGGGGTGCATACGAACATCAACAACCGCAACTCGCGCACTACCACCGGTCGGGAGTTCAATTTTGCCAAAATCAAATTGAACAAGAATTGTATCATTTCTCCAAGGGCGTCTGAGAGGCGGTGGCATGCGCCGAAGGCTCTAAATAAAGTCAGCAAAATGCTGCTTTGGCATCTCAATGAGTGCCGCACGAGTGTCACAATGCAAAGAAGACGCCCACCATATCTCAGGGCAATTGAGAAGCGAATGGGTCTCACCCCTCGTGCGCGAAAGCAAAACATTCGACACCTCGCCATGGGCTGCATCGATCTCTCCATGGCCCACCCTGATGAGTGGAGCGGGATTGTCCAGTCTTTCTAAAGTATTTTGTATTTGCTGAGACGGTTGTGTGGCGCTTTGAATGCTTTCCTAATTTGACCTCTCAATTATTAATCCTGGCAGTGTCAGTGCTTCAAATAGGCGTTGCTCGCTAAGTGCTATTGAATTTATGTTCACCTCACCTTACCTTTCGGAACCATGCATTCCGCAGCGCGCTTCACGAAAGCAGACGACTTCGGCAGTGCAATGTGGGCGAGCGCATGTTCACCCATGTGCGTTTCAAGAGGTATCAGAACACCTGTCAAGTATGGCATAGTGTGGTTGCCACAGTGTCTGGCAGGACATTGCATACTTTGTTCGATGCCGCTCAGTGTGTCTGTGCTGAGAGAGATGTGGAAAAAGAGGAGTAACAAGTACAACCCCAAACCACGCCGGGTGAACGAAAAATGTCACTTATGATTCCAGGCGGCCATGCCCCCTGTTCTCCGGCGCCCGGGACCTGTAAAAGCCTCCTAAAACATGTCTGATCTACCTCAGGAGATTGACATCAAAGAAACCCTCCTTGGGTGCAAATGCATGCAGATTCCTCAATGTCTACGACTACAACAAGATCCTCAGGTGGAGATGGAGGGTACTCTTCAAATGAACGCTGATCTACCTCAACCTCATCCTCAATTGCATCCATCTCAGGGAAATTGATGCGGGTATGGCAACCCTTCACGCTGGTGTCCGTTTGCGAGGTAAGGTGTGATCCACGTCGGTATCTAGTTTGAAAGCGGATGGGTTCTGAAGAAGTGTGGCAGCAAGAAAGGAGGACGGCCGTGCTTCAGCTCCCACAATCCGTCCCGCCAACAGCCGTGTTCCTTCTTGCGTCCATACAATCTCGTGCAGTGACAAAGAGATGCGCACAGTGGCCCGTTACAAGACCGTCAGCGTTCCAGGCCCAGCAGTGAACTCCTGGAAAGCTCACGATCACCGTGGCATTTTTCAACTCGTTGAAAGTTGTTGAACCCAAAAGCAATGGGAACGGACTCGATCTGCTCCAGCAGTTTGTGCAGCTCAAGCTGCGATCCAAAATACTGCGAGAAGGGAGCATCGAACGCTTCGGTCTTCACAAGTGGGTGGAGTCTGCTCGGATCTGCCATGATCTGCCGAAGGCTTCAGAGGGCCAAACAGGCTACGGACAGAACGGAATCGCTGGGCACCGTGTATTCTCATGAGTCTCTCAAAGCAAAGAGCAACTTGAGTTGGCATGGTAAGAGATGGTAAGAGCAAACCTGCCGGGGAACTTCAGTTGCTTTACTTTGTGTCAGCGACACCAGGCTGCACTCCATTGGGGCACACCTTCGTTAACAATCGAGAGTTTACTCGAACGTGCTGAATTCAGCTGCTTTGGGGATAGAGCTCAAAGCTTCATTCTGAAGCCATGCTCCCTGCCTGCAGCTGTGAGACGCATCGCGGTGAGAAGCCGTCTTGAGCTGCACTGTCCGGAGGGGTTTCCTTGTCTCTGTCTTTCAGTCATGTCTTTCATTGTGAACAAACGATCAACTCAAGGCTCAGCTCTTCTTCCTTGTCATGTGGTCAAAGATAACAACCTTGGCTACGGGGAAGGTCTTTGAGTTGAGAGCAACATTCGAGCTGTTGCCCGCCGGCCTGAATGTACTCGGTGGTGGGAACCTGCCACAAGGCAAGGCAATCGGGTCCCGTTGTCTGCCCGGAACCTCCAAGCGCTTGGAGTTGTCCCCAGGCTCCGAGCGCGGGTCCACACTGATGACCTTCTCTTCAATGCAACCCTCAAACACTGAGAAGCAATACACAAGGTTAAAGAACAACTTTGCCGAAGAACTTTGAATATTGCCATGGCATGCAGGCATGCCGGCCTTGCGGTCCCTCTTGTTCTTGAAGAGCAAGCCCTGCTCGTGGTCGGGCAGGATTTGAAAGTTTGGGCTCTCGTTGGAGGTCGAGTGCTGGGTGTCCCAGTTGTAGAATGAAAGATCGGACCTTGCAAGCATGTGGCGCACTGCATGATTCAAAGTCAATATATCACGAAGGCTAGGGCGATTTTGGCAAAAGACGCTTCTTTCGCTCAAAGTACCTGGCAAGTTCACACATTTGCAAAAGTCCTGCAACCGCCGCAAGGCACGGTTCGAAGTTCTCTGTTTTGAGACGATGCCCGTAGTCTATGTAGCCAGAAATCTCCTAGCACCGCCATGTTCAGGTCACGTGGTCAAAGAATGTGTTACTGCCTGGCCACGGTGGTTCTTATCTCTGATGAAGATGATGGTGCTGAGCTTGCCACTGCGCACCAACTCCTGGCCGCAATTCAAAGGCCGCGAAGCAGGTGGCAAAAATTATATCAGTGTCCTCCCGGCACGCTAAATGCCGAAGAACCGGAAAGTCCGTCAGGTTTTTCTGCGCACTCGCCAGCACCTCTGCAGCGTCCATGAGTCTTAGGCCGAATTTAGCAAGCTTCCCGGCCGCAAAAAAACCCGCCTTCGGGGCATTCTGCAGACGTGCCTCGCAGGCACAGGCAAATCCCATCACAAACCCAGTCAGCTGCCCAGGCTGAGATTGTCAGGATCTTTCTCCCTGGCGCCTTCTTGGCATTTTCTGCAGCTTCTCTTCTCGCTGCGAAGTCCTCTCGGGTCAAGACCTGAGAGTGAAAACTTCATCCAAGCAAGAGCATTGGCTCATTGCGTAAGCACCCAGTAAAGGGCTGTAAAAGGCTCAAAGGGCTCAAAGGGCTCATTGCCTAAGGTGCATGCCTCCCCCTTCCGGCATCCGATCTCCACGAGCTGTCTGGCCAGCTCATCCTCCTCCAGGTAGAATCTGTCCTTGCGTGCGCGGCTAGCGCCATCCAGGTCTCATGTGCTGAGATTCCAAAAGGCCTGAGGGGTAATCTGGCTGTCGAGATAATCCTCATAGGTCGTGAACTTTTCTATGGAATCCTCGCAGGCCAGGTGATTGCAGTGTCTCTTCATGCTTGAAGGATCCTCGTAAGGATGCGCATAGTCATCCTCCATGGCTTCTGTGCAGCTTGGGCAAAAAGCTGCCAGAGAGTGATTGATTCTGTTCATCCTGGCAGGCGATTAAGCGAGCAATTTGGAACATTGCACGGCACTTATTTCACCCCGCTGCAGTTGGTCTGCAAACCCCAGACATTGGCAAAAAACATATCTTAGCCATATTGTTTCCGACACCTACGCTAGCAGGGCTGCTGTGAAAGCTGCCGGGAAGACTTGAAGAGCATCTAGAAAGCCAATCAAGTTGCCTTGATGGTTCAGCAACCCGCAAAGCAGCTCTGCACATCCCAAGCTGTTGAAGTGAGGACATCCCAATGCAAGTGGGGCCCCCTCAACAGACTCCCCGAGTGAAACAGGTACATAAACGCCCATGCCATGCAGCATCACGCGGCATACGCACGGGACCTGCACAATGTCTCGATCCCAAAATCTGAGAGATGCGTCACAGGCCTACGCCACCAGCACAGAGTCTGCCCAGCTTGACATATACCGCCGCCTTGGAACACACGATCTCGACATGTCGACATGTCGACATGTCGACAGGTCGACATGTCGACTCCTGCGAAGGCTGCTGCCTTCCCTCGAGCTCCCAGCTCCAGGTGTCCAGCCAAGCGAAGCAAGTCCGTGCGCGGCAAGCCCCTCAGCGTCCGACCTGCGTCCCAGCACTTCAGCACTTCACGCCACTGCCTGGATTCCATCGGCCTCTGCCAGGGCTCTCGGATGCCTCTCAAAAGGCAGAGCTCTCAATGTGCGGAAAGGAGTGCTGGGGCCTCGTCTTCGGGCTGCGAGCGATCGCCTACGTCCAGTCAGCCCCTTCCGCCCACAAGCTGCCCAAGACCCTGACCTCCCCGACGACGTTTCAGCAGCCCAGAGTCACAGCTCTCGGCAGCATCGCCTGCGCGATGCTGCCCACGCAGGTCTCAGGCTCACTTCACCAAATTTGCCGGAAAGCCAGGCCTTCATCTGTGAGTCTGCAACCACCCTCAGTAGCGACATGAATGCCGCCTGATTTCCTCCCAAAAATCATTTGTCCAATGGTTCAATGCAAACGGTGACAGTCACGCTCGGGTTCGGCACCTCTGGGACCAAGGTGCTCGGAGAAGCAACTCAAAGGCGGCAGTTTGCTTGCACTGCTCTGAGATCAAATCATCCGCTCGCCTCGGGGGCCTGGTTCGCGCTTCACGATGCCAGCCTGCGAGAAGTCACCGGGATCTACTTGTGTCGATCACCTGAGAGCACGGCTTCCCGCTTGGCGTGCATCTCCCTTTTGGCGGTGGGCATTGCCTCCACCTGTCACAGTCCCTACGTTTTTATGTGACCGTTTCACCATTTTGTGCCTTCAGTTCAGGTGCCTTGGGCCACCCATCCTTCGCTTTCCTGCAGCACGAAATCATCCAGAACGCGGCCGAACGCGGCCCGGGCAGAGAGTTGATGCCCTCGCCTCTTGCGCCGCCCAGCAAAGAGCTGCGCCTCCAAACGCTTCCTGCGCCTGCCAAGCGCTTCAAGATCTCTCTCAGGCAAATGTGCAAAACGATCAATCCTGTATCTTTCTACAAAAACCAAGCCAAGCACTTTGCCAAGTGGGACTTGACATCGCCGCTGCCGGGGTCGTCGTCAGTGTCCTACGGCTTCACATCTCCAGTGGGAACAGCATGTCGAGTCTGGGTTGAGGCTCCTCATCGCTCACCTCTGGCGCTGCGAGCGGCTCTGCGAGGGATGGCCCCAGCTCAATGACAATTGGCACCTTGCAAGAAAACAAATCGCATTGTGTCTTCAAGTCTTTGCTTCTGTGTGCCTCCTCGTCAATCGTTGCAGGTTGCGGCACCTCAGCCAGCACCGATGCCCTCTCCACCTGCAAAAAAGACAGCAAAAATCATTCCAAATACAAGTAGAAACGCATCCAAATGTGCTGACGACAAATGCTTCTCACGTGCGGCTTGTGGCACTTCGGTGCTGCAAAGTGTGCTGCTGAACACATTATGCCCGTCAGCCGGGGACAAAAGACAGGGCAGGATTGCTAAAAAATGTCTTGGATTTCACGTTGCTTGGTTTTGTTCCGTCCAGTTATATTTGAGGAGGCTTCAGGGTTAGGATTCATTTGGGTAGGGTTGAGGTTTGCTGCAGAAAGAGATAAATGAAGGATGATCAGCATAAAAGTGAGAAGCGGACCTCGTCGACTGCCGCCTGGGCAAGCGACGGCTGGTCTTCTTTGCTTTCCTCTTCCGAAAGCTGTCCCTGGCCATCGTTTCCGGCCAGTCCTGCTTCCTGACAGGAACACGTCGTTATCACTCACCACTCCCAAAGCTGGCTCTGTGCCTGCTCCATCTGCTCGTCAGCAGCTGGCTTGAGCAGGTCAAAATAATTGTCATCCTGGCAAGCAACATGACAAGGTTGCCAATAAAATCCATACGTCCAGATTGCATTGCCTTGCACATAGGCCTCCACCACAGGCTTGGCCGAGTCTGCCCTGTGAGGCTCCGCATCTGCCACTGGCGCAGCCTATCCGGCAAAGAGGCTGCGATGAGCCATGAGGCTCAATGGCGCACGCCTGCATTGGTTCATCACTCTCCTCCTCGGTGAGCGGCTCTTCGCCATAACCACTGTGAGTCGACCTCGACTCCTCCTGGCAAGCCATTCGCATGGCGTTTCCCTGTCACATCCGCGGATGCACCTCATAGTCTTTCAGCAGCTCCTGCTGAAAAGCCCGGTTAGCCCAGAGGATGTTTTCGCCCAAATGCCCAAGGCCTTGTGAGGCCGCACCTTCAGCGGACCATCTTCGTGCTGAAGAGCCTAGCACAAGTTGCAGCTAATACTGCCACTAAGGATGCAAACTCCTTTTCTCGTCGCACGAAGGGCTGCAGCCAGCATCCGTTTGGGTGCCTGTGCCACTGTTCGCGCGTGTTCTAGCTGAAAGGGTGTGGATGTAGCGGGGGGAGGTCGGGTTTGCAGAAAGATACGCAGCACAGCTCTGTTCATTCCTGCAGAAGATAGTTCACAAAAAAAATGGGCATTTGCCCACTGCGCTGTGGCCAGCATCTGCCCTGAGAAGAAGAACCCATGTGCTGCTTTCAGCAGCTGATTGAAAGACGACGGCAATAACGTCTGCGTTGCTGGCTGCTACTTGGGACTAAGATCAGGGGCCGTGGTGCTGTCCAGAAATTCCAATGCAAATTGGGCCTAAATCGCGCTGGCAATGACTACAAGCGCTGATCGTGGTCGCGACGCCTGGCTAGCTTAACGCCACCCAAATCAAGCCTGAATCAACCCTGGCCCTCAGCCAAGCTCCTAGAACTACGAAAAGAAGAAATAGCACCCAGCAAAACATCTATTGGAAAGAGACAGGACATTTGGGCGACGCGATGCGCCTCAAACTTCTTCCGCGATATGGCCAAGAAGGACAGGAACCCCGGCATGCCCTGCAAACAAAACATCTGGCATTCTGGCCACAAGGCGTCACAAGGCGTCACAAGGCCTTGCGTCAAGGCGTCAAGCCCCAGGAGTGGAGCAAATGAAGCCGACTGAGATATCGCTGACAGTAAAGCAAGCGTGGTAAGCGTGGGCTAAGTCTGGGCTAAGTGGCTTTCTGTGCGGTGTGTCCCATGAGAAGCACAATGCCCATGTACATTGTTACATCCGCACACCGCACAGCAATGCGCTGTGCACCTCCGTAAGACTATGCTTGAGGCGAAAGAAGAACGTGGAGGCTTCTGCTACGACTGACACTGGGCAGCCTCGGACTTGGAGCAACAAGCGCACTTTTCCTCGAGCCCTTCGGCTGCACCCCAAGTCCTGCCAAACAAAAAACAGGTAGAAGCAGGCGCGAGTAACACACAGGCAAAATCAGCATGCCTCAGCCAATGATGCACCGCCATTGATGATCGGGTCCTGTGTATTGAGCGCCCGCTGACAGTCCAAGCAAACGGCAGACTGCGCCTAAAGGCTGCAATCTCTTCAAGCGGCAGTTTTCTTTTGCCATTTGGCAAGGGATAGAATACCTCGCCGTCGCACTGGCGAGCAGTCTCATACAGCGACCAACCGGAACAGAGCTCTAAGTAAATGGGGACAGGGTGTCCACTACCAAAGTGAATGCATCACTGAGGTATCTCATTCGCGCTAGCCTCCGGGGGGCAAATCAGGACGCCAGGGTCTTCACCTGCCCAAAAACAAAAACACTTTGCCGGAGCTACATAGATCATGGGCGGCCATTTGTAGGAGCTGCAGCTGTCAAAAGTTAGTACCAATTATGTTCCAGCGCAGTTGGATGACGGGAAGCTTTTAACCAATAATG